TGGAAGTCAATATTGCTGGATGTCATCACAGCACACTTTGGAGTATTAAACACTGTGCTACAGTTGGTTTGCATCACTTGGAAAATACAATGATAACACAAAAGCTGCTTTGCTTCTTCTTTCCTTTCTGCAAGTGAAAACTCAAGGATGAGAAATCAGAAACACAAAGGACAGCTGAGTGCTCCACAACCACATGGATAGCAGAGAATGGTGTGCAGGTTATACTCTACCTCTCAGTGAGGGAGGCTTATAAAAAAGAGGGAGAGCAAATTTTTACATGGGTAGATAGTGACAGGACAAGGGGGAATGGATTTAAACCAGAAGTGGGAAGATTTAGATCAAATATTAGGAGGAAATTCTTTACTGAGAGGGTGTTGGCACTGGAACAGGTTGCCTAGAGAAGTTATAGATGCCTCATCCCTGGAAGTGTTCAAGGTCAGGCTAGGTGGGGCTTTGAGCAACCTGGTCTAGTGGAAGGTGTCCCTGCCCGTGGCATGGGGGTTGGAACAAGATGATCTTTTAGGTCCTTTCCAACCCAAACTATTCTGATCCCATGAATTCATCTAGATGTAAATACAATTTCTGTCCTCGTGTCACAAAAGTCCAGATCAGCTCTCCTGGGTGCAGTTGTAGGTCTCATTGGTGTCAATAGGAATCCACACAACTGGATTTTAGTATCTGGATTTACATCTCAAACACCAAAGGAGATACAAGTACATTTTCTATTAATTACTTAAATATTTTAAATTTATTGTGTGGAATATACACAAAATAAGCAAAACAAACTCTTCTCACTGAGATTTTGGGGTGGAGAAATTCAGACTTGGAAAAATATATGCATTTTAACAGAGATGGTCTGTAAGTCACAACTAAGACCATAGTATTAGATTATCTTTCACCAGCAATGTAAGTTTGTTCCTAAATATTTTAAAAGCATAAGAATTTAGATCAACGAAGTCCTATTACTTCTCTTTTGGAGACCATTGGAATGTTTATTCCATGAAACTCCCTAGTAGAGCCTTTTAAACAGTTACAAAACTTTAAAATATTTTTTGTAGTTGATTTAGCCTATATGTTATATACTACTTATTTTAAAATGTTTCTAAGATTAGGCTGATGGAGTGAGGCAATTCTCATTTATACAGGAACAATTTTGGGATCAATATGAAAAGTAAGTACTATCTTTTATACTTATAGGCATAAATGCCTCAATAAGAAAATATCAAAGAAATGAGTTAAAGCTAAAAGTAGATTTACACCTTTTTAATGAGGATAAACAAATTCAATCAAAACCCATCTAAATATGCTTTTAATGTTTTTATTTTAACTTAATTTAGAGGTAAAAGAAATAATCTTGAAAATAAAAATCCTTGAATACCGGAGGAATGGATTTCTTTTCACATGAGGTTCAAACTTCATGTGAGCCTCTTATGAAATTTCAGTCTGATTCTCAGCTTAGCTCTGATCTGACTTTGATCTTACATCATACTTTGATGCAATCCAGAGGCAAAATTTATTTCTACAGACCACCTCTATTCTCCATTAATATATATAAAAAATATTTTAACAAGGGAAGCCTCTGGGTTGATGTGTCTGTAATACTGACATTAGTGAACAAGGGCTTACCTGTATTTGTTAAAAATAAGCAAGAATGTCAGCACTCGAAGGACTGCCAAGACTGTGTTCATCTCTACTCATCTCTTTGAGAAAGAAGATTAATGTTGAAATGAATGGAAGAACCTGTCAGTGCATGAAAAGTTTTCAGGAAGATGTGATGCTTGAGGAAACAGTTTGGTTATCGGCTACTCCAGGATACCAAAGTAGATATTTCAGGTTCAGTTTTCACAAAAGTATTCCTCAGCTATATACGCAAATCTGCAATTACAAATCAGGATAAGAATATGCCACAGAATTCAAGAGCATGTAATTCAATTATCTTAGCAATGACTCTTCTTCCAAATAACACGAAAATAAACTAAACTATAAAAGCATACATTTACAGAACAACACAAAATGCCATCTGAAACTTTTTATATTTTGTTAATTTAATTGCTTAGCCTGCTCTGAATTGTGAGGTAAAATAAAATGCTTTTAAACTAATGTGACTGTGTCCTTGCTCACTGAATATTTCTATATTAATTTTATTAATAATAGAAAAATGGGAACTTAGAAATTAGTTTTAGCACTTAGTATGTAAATTAGTCATAGCAAGAAGCCCCTTTATCTTCTGTGTTATCTTTTGTTGTGGCATTAGTAATACTTTCATAAAACTATCTTAATTTTCAAGAAAATTATTCTGAAAGCAGCTATTCTCTAAGATTTGTCTCTAAATGTTATCATCAAAACATCATAGTATCTGAATATGCTTCCCCTGGGTAGCATTTATCACTGAACTCTTTCAATACATATTTTTCATCTGTGGTACTGTTGTTTTAATGACAACCCCTAATTAGGGTTGACATTCACTAGCCTTATTTCCAAATTCTGTTCATTTTGACCTCAGACAAGTTATTTAAAGCTGTTGAGGTTCAATTTTTATCAAAAAATGCTGTGCACAGTCTTACTTTTCCAGACTTCCATTTGAAGTCTGTCTTCATTTGCAGTATTACTGTCCTACTGAAGTCAATGTGTTAAAGCAGCATCCAGCATCCAGCATCATAATCATTTACTGTGATCCCTGCAGCTACCCACAGAAGTGATTGATAATGCCAATAGAGTGACCATGCCAGACTTTGACCAGCCACCAACCCACAGTGATGTTTACCAAAAGAAAACCAATAATTTTGGGGAATGAAAGAGTGGGGTTGGCTCAGCCTGAAGAGGGGAATGCTGGCAGGGAATCTGTCCTCCTTGCCCACTACTACTGATACCCAAGAGACATTTCTGGGCTTGCAAGAACCAGGACTGGGAAAGGAATGCATAGCAAGGGAATTGGCTCTATTTTGGCCTTACATCCTATGTTTCATATTAAAAAAATCCTACATGTTTTTAATGCATGTTTCTGAAGTCAGAAAACCCCTTCTTGCACAAGCCATGTAGCAGAGCATGGAGTTTTAGAGAGATGGGAATTGTTTCCACTCAACTCTGCCTCAGTAGGAGCCAGATCAAACAGGGGAAACCATACAAAGAGATTTCCCTCAAACAACCATACCATGTCCTGAGAGAGGACTATCATTTCAGAGGGAGGATGCAGAAGAAGCAGACATACTCTGATGCTTATGGAAAGGTCCTCTCTTCACCTACACGAGTCATAGAATCATAGTTGGAAAGGACCTACAAAGATCATCAAAATCCAACTCTTATCCCTGCACAGAACAACCCCAAGAATCACACCACGTGCCTGAACACAATGTTCAATGTTTTGAACTCTGACAGGCTTTGTGTTGGGATCACTTTCCTGGGGAGCCTCTTCCACTATCTGGATTAAGAACCAAAATCAAGAAAGCAGTCGCAAAATATGAAGAATGGAATTGCTCAGGTGTGCATTCTGGCACCAGAATTTCATGTAAATTTTGCACTTTGAAAGAAAACATCCAAGTAATAAAAATCAATAAGTATAGCTGTCTGGGTTTTATTACATGGCTTTTATTATACAAAATAGTATAATTCTGAAAGGGCTAAATCTTTGTTATTCGCATGGATGGAAGGTAACAAAAACTTAGAGGATTAGTTGGAGTGGAAATGCCGACAATAAATATGTTGTTTACAGTTCTGCTTTTCATTGCATCACTGAGCTGCAGCAGCTTAAACAGCTTATGGACAAATATGTGCAAAGAAACTTCAAAGGTTAATTTAAACAGTTTAATGCTCTGAAAAGTGTAACAACTTATCTGCAATGAAAATACGGTGCCTACAGTGAGTTCCTCAGATGAGGGGTGATGATTTTCTTTTTCTATCAGTGTGATATAAACCTTCATCCCACCTGGCAATCCTGTGAGAAAGAGTTGTGCTGAAAATCTGTATTAAAATTAAGATGTTCTTGTTTACTTCTCATGGCATTTGATAAGTGATTTTTTGCACAAGTTTCTATGCTTGTATGCAAGGTGCATTCTTACATTTAATGTCAGATTAAAGGATTAGCTTTAGAAATGTGAATATTGTGACTACTCGTAGTAGTAAGAAGTTAATTCTGTGGTAGAAATATATAAAATTGAACATTAAAATCACCAAGTGTTTTTAAAGAAAAGATTTGATGCAGATCTATTTGTGAGTTGTAAATCCTCAGCTACAACTATCTTTGTAACGAAACCCCAGCTGTTTTATGGTTCTTCTTGAGTGCAAATACATTTCATTTTGCTTTTTTCCCCTCTCTGTATTTTGTTTTTTTTTTTTCCCTGTGTGCTGGTTTTGTCTGGAATAGAGTTAATTTTCTTCACAGAAGCTAGTATGGGGCTGTGGTTTAGGTTTGTGTTGGACACAGGGTTGATAATATAGAGATGATTTTGTCATTGCTGAACAATGCTTACACAAAACCAAGGCCTTTTGTGATTTTCATACTGCCACACTGTCAAGGTGGCTGGGGGAGA